CGTTCGTATAATATCCTTACATTTTTTTGGCGTTTCTTCAACTTTGCCAGCTAAGAGTAAACAGCAACAAGCTGTTACCTATATACCGCAGTAATACAATTAGTACACGATACAATTTAAGATTGATCACATATATATATATATATATATATATATATATATATATATATATATATACGTGACTGTAAACATCATTGTTACGTCACGCGTGCACGATTCGACGTAACTTTTTCCTGGGGCGGAAATGTCAAAAATTGGTAACATTTTTTTCCTAAGGAAAAAATAATTCTAGGAAAAATGGTCCTAGGGAAAAATATATATCCTTATTACGCATGCGCGAGACGCGTCAAATTTGTATATGGCGGGCGGCATAGACATAGTATATCTAGACCGAGTGTTGTCCTTTTCTACGTGCATCTTTACCCCCACTCCTTAAATAAAGGCAAACGCTCGGTCTAGATATACTATGTCTATGGCGGGCGGCGTCATGTCGTTTGTATTTATGGTTTCCCGAGAGAAATTTCGTCCGTATATGCTGTCACCGGGTAATTTCGCGTAAGGAGAGGGTTCTCGTCGCCCGGAACCGATGGTCATCGATGATCGACGACGTCCGGTCGAGCGCGATATGCGTCATCATATCATGCCGGCGCTCTCGGTCGGCTTCGGCGAAAAAATTGAGGTTGGTTTTTTGAATTTGCACTGTTTGCGCCGTCGCCGCCTCTCGTCGTGGCAACCAACGCGTGCACCAAACGCTCCTTCCATCGTACCTGTTCCAGGAATACGAGGTGCTGCATCCGCTGGGAAAGGGTGGCTACGGGAGCGTTTACCAAGCAAAATGTCTCCGCAGCGGCATAGACGTCGCGATCAAAATGGTGATTTATTTATATATTTTGATCTTCTTTCAAAATCGAGGAGCTCCTGTTATCCAGATCCAAAGACCCGTGTTGCTCCAGTTACGTCTGGCTATGAGCCTGCGTATCGAGCATTCGGTTTGAGATTTATATAACTGATTGATGCAACAGTTTTGAAATACATGGATACAAAGTTATTTATCAATCTCGACAAAAAAAATATTGGAGAAATGAGATTAGACCAATATTTTTGAGATCATGACACTTTTGTGAATTACTTGAGTTGATAAATTATAGAGAGACAAGACTTATTATGTCATTGTTTCAATATAAACAATTAGATATCTATGTTGCTTCTTTATGCTTACCTGTTTCTACAGATCGACAAGGAAAAAATGTACAATACTGGGATGGTGGATAGAGTGAGGCAGGAAGTGGGGATACATTCACGATTAAAACATCCAGCTATCTTGGAGTTGTACACATATTTTCAAGATACAAACTATGTGTACCTAATTTTAGAATTATGTCACAATGGGGAGCTTCAACGCTTTCTCAAAGCGCAGGGTACTAAAGCTTTGCCCGAAGAACATGGTATATAAATATATAATTTATATATGGGCGGATATATAAAATTCTCTTTCCAAATTACAATTATAATAAGATCTCTACTATTTTAGCCGCCCGCATAATTAGACAAGTTGTACAAGGTTTACTTTACCTTCATTCCCATCAGATACTTCACAGAGATATGTCACTGTCTAATTTACTTTTGACCAAAGATATGCAAGTGGTACGTAAAAATATGTATATTTTAGTTTCTTAGAGTAAAAAATCCTTTTTTTTTTTTTTTTTTTTGTTTTTACTTCATTTTGTGTGTTCACAGAAAATAGCGGATTTCGGATTAGCTACACAATTAACTAAACCAGATGAAAAACATTTGACTATGTGTGGCACGCCAAATTACATCTCTCCCGAAGTATGTACTATTTCGGAATTGCTAGATTGTAAAATCATATTAGATTGTGATATTATGAAAATTACTAGGTTGCTATGAGATCCTCACATGGACCAGAGGCAGACGTATGGAGTTTGGGATGTATGTTGTATAGCTTATTGGTGGGTAAACCGCCGTTCGACACCGATGCAGTTAAGAGTACTTTAACACGAGTAGTAATGGCTGATTATGCGATGCCATCTTATTTGTCGGATAATGCAAAAGATTTGATAGATAAATTACTGAAAAAAAATCCAAAAGAGAGGATACGTTTACGAGACATTCATAAACATCCATTTGTAACGAATATAGAAAAAAACAGACTATATAATGTAAGTAATGATGCATTAACAAAATAGTTAACATATCAAGTGTGTAATTTAAATATATTAATAATAAAAAATACCACATTAAATCGAGTTCATAAAAAAATAGCCATTGATATAGCCATTTTTATTTTTGCAGGAAAAAAATACAGATTTTTTAACTAATGGCATGATGGATTCCGGGATAGGTGGGACACTGTCCTCATACGGTCGGTCGAAAATCCGATCTCGTTCGGAGGAAAGAACAGCCACAACGCCGATAATGCCTATGGTCAGTATGAGAAGCGAAGCATTGTCCGAACCTATTGCGAAGATGCAGTTAAATCACAGAGCGAGATACGGGAATTACAATGCGAAAGAGAACTCTGTGTTGATAGGTATTCCAACATCTCGCAGTAAGGTGTTCTCACAAAACGAACAGTATGATAATTACAAGTATGAGTATGACGATTCAGAGAGGCAGAAAATAACGGAAAGGCACAATAAGCCGAGAAAGGAAAAGAGCACGGAAAATCATAATGTGCAAGGAACTGAGGAAAATGCAAAATTACAAGTACCTCCTTTGAATTCCAACAGATTACAACCCACTAGGCACAGAACGAACAACGCGATTCTTACGCTTCTAGACAATGGGGAAGTATGTATCGAGTTTATCAAACGCAAAAACGGCAAGGTATGTATAAAAGAATAGTATAAAAATCGTAATATAAATAGAATTTTTTTGATGCTCACTGTATAATAAATTTGTGTATTTACGTGTAATTTCGATATTTTAGGAAAAGATCAGCAATGTGTGCAGAATATCAGGTGACGGTTTACGAGTCGTTCTTTACAAACCGAGTGCGTCTACAGAGGTCGGCTCGCAGCCGCCACCGTTACCCAGCCGGGGTGCCGATAGTATTTATTCATACGAGAATTTACCAGCATGTCATCATCGAAAATACATGTACGCGTTCCGTTTTGTGAAATTGGTTCAGGCGAAAACTTCAAAATTAACGCTGTACACCCAGCGTGCAAAGTGTGTTTTCATGGAGAATGGTCCACAGCCTGATTGCGAAGTGCATTTTTACAACGGAGTAAAGGTACACACAGCTATTAATTCATTGATTTCTATGTATTACTAATGTATATTTTGATAAAAGAATATAAAACTGTCAAAGAGATAATAATATTAATATTATAATTTTAATATTATGTAAGTCAATAATTTGATTTTTTCTGATTTTATTTCACTTACTTTTGTTTCTAAAAACATTTCAGATTGTCCGAGTAAATGGTGACGTGAAGATCACCGATCAGAACGGTGATACATTTGTTGAAGGTGAATTTTCGCCACATCTTGAAAACTATTTCGAATATTACTCGGAGTGCTATAAACGTTGCTTACTGCTGGAATCGACTTTGACATCCTTGGAAGTGGCCACAGGGCATCCCTGTTTTCCTGTGATAATTGGACGAAGGCCTAATACGGCCCTGAATGATGCTCCCTATCTGCAGGGGAAAGAAAATATGTCTCATACTATTAGGAACATTTCTCCCGTCGTAAGTATATAGCGAGGAATTTATAAATTTTTTTTAGTACAGTAATTGATTTCTTTATTCTACTGAAGTAATGTTGAATCTCCTTCAGTTGCCGTCATTCGATGGTAGCTGCTCCGTCGTTTCGACGATGACTTCTAGATCGCGCAAGACGAATTCTGCGCATAATTTTAATAATAATGCGAATATGGTAGCGGTCCCGGGAATCGGTTTCATTAGAGAATTATCGTCCGGCAACATCCGGGTTGAATATAAAGACGGATCCGCTTTAACTGTAAGTTGTCTTAATAATTTATTAGATAATTTATTTTATAATGATATCCAACTTAATTCATTTTAGCGACATTTTATTTTCGTGATAGTTTATTATTAACTTTATTCTATCATATATGTTGTCATTTAATCGATAATCGTTTTATTACAGGTAAGTTCACAGAATGGTGGCATTACATATGAAAGTAAAGATGGCAATATTGTGCGATGTAATGAGCATTACCAGCAAGATTTGGAAGAACCGATTCAAGAGAAACTTCGTCAATTGCCAATGGTTCTCAAATATCTCATGAAACCAAGACCCAAGTGTATTCGGTAGCTCCAAAAATATTGCGTATTTTGTATAATACGAATGAAAAATCACACTCGCATCGACTGTAAGCTTATTATAGATTTACAGATTATACAATATAGATTTATATAAATAACTTATACAAATCTAAACATAGATTAATGAATATTTTTAAGTATACAATAATAATAAAGAATCGCTTATTATATCTATGATACACTTTTAATTCGAGCATTACACGAGTGTACACAAAGATATTTTAACATATTTTAATATTCATTTCTCTATTCAAAGAATTAATAAGACAGAGAAGAGAGAAAGGTCAGTTAAGAAAATATTTTTTTTTGAATATTGATTTTTTTTTTTTTTTTTTTTTTTTTTTTGTAGATAGCGGAGAAAAGAAGCATGTAAATAGTACTATTAAGAGAAATTTAAGAGTAATTCTTATGGGATTTAAATAATTGAAAATTTTTCCGTTTTATCTGTAATATACAAAGGAAAATTCTACAAAAAAAGAATTCGAAATTGCTGCTACTCAAAGTAACGAACTATATACAGGTATATTTATTTTTTATTGTTTCTATTTAAAAAATATTATTTTTAAATTATTCTCTCTGCTTTATATATCGCTGAATGGCAATGAGAAGTGAGTTCGCAATAAATCAAAGAATAAAGTACAAAAAAAAGAAAAATAAATAAGTGCCAATTTTCATAAAACTTATTGTAGATCTTTCGTCAGCTGCATTTCCCCATCCAGGGCGTCCGCAGGATTTTTTCCAGGGGGAGGGGGGGCATGATTCAAAATGTTACTTCCAGAATTAGAATACTTATAATTTGAAATTTATACATTTTTTGATATAGTAAAAGTTTTCTCACCGCGACAAGGTAAGTGTATGTCGAGAAAGATTTTCTTTGCGTTTTCTAATTTTCTTTTTATTTTTTTTTTGTTTATTTTTTTTTTTTTTGTTTTTTTATTGTTTTTTAATTTTTGAAAGGCAGGCAAAATGAATTAAATTCGAGGAAGGCAAGCCTCGAAAAATTAAAATTCTATTGAAATCAGAAAAAAATGCATTTTTCTATGGATTAGGGCAGAGATCGGCAAAATTAGCACAACTTTGCCCTTCCTTTATTCAAAGAGAGAGCAAATGCTTAATTTTTTGTTAATTCCAGGGGGGGGGAATGCTCCCTCTTGCCCCCTCCTTCCCCTGTAGACAACTATCTTCTCCATATACGTGTCTTTCTAATAATTTTTTCTCATCTCTGTACATAATTAAAATTTAAGTATTCTTATCCCATGAAAATCGAATTAGAAATAATTATACGAAGAACAAATCGTGCATTATCCCGGAATCCGATTGAAGAAGGCTCTATGACGCCGTTCACCATTTTCAACATTTCAATTGAATCGGGGTCACAGTCGGTCATTATCATACTCCCCCC